AGGCCATGTAGACTGAACCATTTGCAGACAGTACTTATTATCTTGTGATTCCCATTCATCTTCTCTTTTTCTATGGTAGTATTTATAAATGCTTCATTATTCCTAATTATGTGTGTATCCCCCTTATTTATCTTCTTAACAAGTGACCACAAAAAGCAGCTCAACCATGTATGGTTGCATATATCACTGGTAAACAGACACCTACCTAGGCAATATTCAGAATTAGTAACAAGCTTTTTCCCCCCTTCCCCTCATTTATTCTCTCTCTCCCTACAACACTGCACGCTGAGATGACAGCAGCATATCCTGTTGGAAACTGTCAAGAACATGAGCAGTCACTCTCTCTTCTTGTGTAAAGAGAAGAAAACTGCAACTGTGACCCCCAAATCCCATTCAAGACCCTATACCTTAAAACCCAGCCAGATGCTTGAAGAGTTGAATTCGGGTTGAGGCCCTAATTCCTCATTTGCTCTAACTCATAAAAGTCCTAGTAGTGCCTACCAGTGCTTCCAAATACAGGTGTAGTGAAGTAGGACAGGACTGTGAAAGAGATAAATAAACCTCATTCAATCATTCCTCTACTCAAGAGATACCTGGAGCCAATGAACAAAAGAAAATGAGCTTCTCTCTAGCTCTGATCTCAGTTTTACCCCATAAAAGCCATCTGACTTACCACTTTTTTGTGAAGACCTGCTCTAAAAGCTTAGTTTTTCTCACTACTTGTGTACCATGACACACAAAAAATTGAAATGTCACCAAAATGTAAGCACACCTAAAGTGAAATCCATCACCTTTGTTTTCTCCCATTACAAAGAGAAGATTTACTTCCCTAAAATGAGAAAAAAACACAGTATGTTCTAAATAGGAACTGTAAAGGAGCATCACCAGAATGGTACTGTTGTACCATTCAAAACATCAGACACTAAATTAAAAATCTTGCACAGAGTAATTGTATTGCACAGAGTAAGAAACCGTGTAATACTCTGCCTGGAAATGCCACCATCCTAGAATCATAGAATCAGAATGAGTTGGGTTGGAAAGGACCTCCGAGATCATCAAGTCCAACCCTTGAACCAACACCACTGCGGTTACTAGACCACGGCACTGAGCGCCACATCCAGTCTCATCTTAAAAACCTCCAGGGATGGAGAATCCACCACTTCCCCGGGCAGCCCATTCCAATGTCTGACCACCCTCTCTGTAAAGAAATTCTTTCTAATATCTAACCTAAACCTCCCCTGGCACAACTTGAGACCATGCCCTCTTGTCTTGCTGACAGCTGCCTGGGAAAAGAGACCAACCCCCACCTGGCTACAACCTCCTTTCAGGGAGTTGTAGAGGGTTATGAGGTCTCCCCTGAGCCTCCTCTTCTCCAGGCTGAACAGCCCCAGCTCCCTCAGCCTCTCCTCATAGGACTTGTGCTTGAGTCCCTTCACCAGCCTAGTTTCTCTCCTCTGGACCCGCTCCAGCACCCCAATATCCTTCCTGAACTGAGGGGCGCAGAACTGGGCACAGCACTCGAGGTGTGGCCTTACCAGCACTCAGTACAGGGGAAGAATCACTTCCCTGCTCCTGCTGGCCACACTGTTCCTGATCCAGGCCAGGATGCCCTTGGCCTTCTTGGCCACCTGGGCACACTGCTGGCTCAGGTTCAGCTTCTTGTCAATTCAAACTCCCATGTCCCTCTCTGCCTGGCTGCTCTCCAGCCACTCTGTCCCCACCCAGCCTGTAGTACCTTGCAACTTAACACATTAACCCGGAGAGGATAAATGATTCTTGGTCTAGTTTCTGGTGGCGAATGCAGGAGTGACACAGAAGCAAAAAAGATGATGATTACAGAATCTGAATATATGAGACAGGAAAACAAGAGAACAAGAAATAAATCTGACGCATCTCTATCATACATATAAAAATACTAACCCTTAACTTGAATGTATTCTAATTACCTACTGCAGTGTAACTGTAGCATATTTGAAATGACATGTTGGTTAAAGAAATTCTTGTGGGAGGTGGTCCCTTCTCTGCAACCACAGGATGTTTTACTAGAAGATGTTAGTAATGTTCTTCAGTAATGGTAATGGTTGCAATACCATGAAGGAGAGGGATTACCTGTGAGTTCCTCTACAAGTGTATTAACATTTACTGGCATAAGTACTGTAAAAAGTAAAAATTTATTGTTCTTGGGTAACAAGTGTTTGCTCCAAACATGCTTGTGTGGAACATTAGTCAGAGTACAGAAGTATCTGCCTTATCATTACAACCACAGCGATGTTGTTACTGGTTGCTTCTTCATGTTTTGGTCTTCCCATGCTCAGAAGGCCCCTTTGTCACAACAAGTGCAATTAACACTTCCAGGACACATCTGGCTATTGCCTTCAGTAGATGGTACTACAACATTTTAAAATTCAATTGTAACAGCTATTCCTTCACTCTCCACACCTTAGAATACAGAAAAATTCATAATCTGGTCATTCAAAGTAAGAATGCAAATGTGAAATGATTTACCTCTTATCAATAATCTCACCGGTACCTCTAACCTGAAGAGCAGAACTGAATACTTCCCATTCAAACTGAACCAAAAGATACATGAAATGATGAGGCCAGCAGCAGAGATAAAACAGGAGTCCAGAGCTCCTAACTTTGTGAAATACCTTTTATTTTAAGATGTTTAACAAGAATTTATATTCTTATTTAGGTTTTATGCTTAAAATTACACTTTTCAGACTCAATATATCTAAAATTAACTTCATGTTATACATTTATCCATGTATATATGTGCGGTGAAAACAAAAACTGTTCTTGTGTGCGATTCAAACCTGAAAGATTCCCCAGATGGTTGGCATTTCATGGCACTCCCAGGAGGAAACAGCAAGAAGAACACAAAAGTAGTACTCACTCTTCACAGCTCAAAGTTTCTGAACATGGCTCAATGCCCAGATGGACACAGGTGACAAGTGCTGTCCCTCAGGGCACCATATTGGGACCAACACTGTCTGATATCTTCATCAGTGACACAGACAGTGATACCAAGTGCACCCTCCGAAAATTTGCAGCTGACACACCTGAGGGATGTGTTGCCATCAGGAGGGACCTGGACAAGCTCGAGAAGTGTGCCCATGGAAACCCAATGAGGTCCTGCACCTGGATCTGGACAGCCACCAGCATCCATACAGGCTGGAGCTGAATGAATTCGAAGTAGCCCTACCGAGAAGAGAAGGACTTGGGGATGCTGGTGGATGAGAGGCTGGACATGAGCTGACAATGTGTGCTCCCAGCCCAGAAAGCCAACCACATCCTAGGCTGCATCAAAAGTAGTGTGGCCAGCAGGTTGAGGGATGTGGTTCTGTCCCTCTACTCTGCTCTGGTGAGACACCACCTGGAGTGCTATATCCAGCCCTGGGGTCCCCAGCACAGGAAAGACATGGACCTGTTAGAGCAGGTCCAGAGGAGGGTCATAAAAATGATCAGTGAGCTGGAGCACTTCTACAGAGACAGGCTGACAGAGTTGGGGTTGTTCAGCTCAGAGAGAGAAGACTCTGCAGCCTTTTAGTAATGAAAGGGGGGCTTATAAGAAAGATGGGGGCAGACTTTTTAGTAGGGTCTGTTGCAACAGGACAACGGATAATGGTTTTAACCCAAAAGATTTAGACTAGGTATTTAGACCAGGTATGTGTGTGTGTGTATATATATATATATATATATATGTATACAGGGGAGTTAGACTAGATGACCTTTACGGTACCTTCCAAACGAAGCTAATCTATTATTCTATGAATATGTATACTCTATTGTCTTCGATGGTATTACCTCCATTTGTGTATCTTCATCTCCCACTGGAACTGCCTGTGGCAGTTCAGACTGTCAGAAGTTATTGCAGTGCCATTAGTGATCCAGTTCCTCCTATGAACATCCTGTAAAACTGTTGTCCTATTGATCAAATGTTTTTTGAGGCACCAGGGGAGCTGGTGGGACTTGAAGAAGTTGATTAAATCCATCTCACTACAAACTGATGCCTTGCTGTAATTGGTAAGTTGGACTTTGTTGGTTTTGGCAGGACTTTTCTGCAGATGCTGAAGAGCTGATGAATACACAAGCCTGTCTCTGTCACATTTTTTCTTTCCCACATCATTATTTTCATGGACTGGATGACTTTTTTCCTGCTTAACTTTGACTCATTAGAAAATTGGTCTTGTGGCACACAGCACCTCTGCTCATAGCCAAAGGTGAGAATTCAGTGATCCCTTGATATTCCTTACATAAGTATACAACTGCAAAGAAACAACAAGAAAGCCAGATTTGCAGATGACTGCACAACAGTTGTCTATGCTATGCTTGATCTCCAACCTACAGGAAACAACAGAAACTTTCTCATTAGTTTTAGTGAGGTTTAGATCTCTTCCATAGTAAACTAAGCACACATCCTGCATCTAATAGCTGAGCTTCTCCTCTTCAGTTAACCTCCTGTTTCCTAAGAGTTTAATGTTTTATGCTGAAGAGTAACTTGTTTTTTAGGAAATAAACACCACTGTCTTTTGGAAAAATTGGGTAGGATTCATCTTATTAGATGTAAATATCTTCACTCTCCATCTGAACTAGTGATACTTGGCTTCCTTCATAGACAATGCAGTACAGAGTGAAAATGCCACTTCTAGGCTATGATCTACCTGACCTACACAGAGCTTTACTTTTGGATGTCAGGAAATGTGAGAAAAGCCTTTCTGCCTCAACTGAGTATCAAGACATCCTAGGATGAATAGGTCTGATTTAGATTATCTACCCTGTAGACATCTGTCCTTGATCAGATGAGCCAATCCCCAGGTGGCCCGAATTGGACACAGCAGACAAACAACTTTACTCGTCACTTTTACACAGTGACTATGTTTAAGCAGAACTGAAATAGAAGACAATATCTGTGGAATAAAAAAAATCTAATATTTATTGCTGTGATATGAAATCAGTGGCTTAGCAATCTAAATAGAGACAGTTTATCAAGCCCTTACCTTTGGGGATAGTAATCTGACAGCCCAGGTCACAGTCCTGCTGCAACTGATAAAAAGCCACTTCCTGCAGCCGAGCACGCTCCAGCTCCGAGAGGCTTTGAACGGGAACTGACTTCAGCCGAACACTGCGCCCTGACATGCTGTTCCAAGTGAAATCACCCTACAGGAAATCAAATGGAAAAATATGAAGCATCATATGGTATGCACAGTTTAATAAACAGAACCATCTCTTTTACTGCTAGAAAAAAAACAACACAGGTTCTTCGTACTAAAATGCAATTTTCTTGGACGCTTCTAACCTTTCAAATATCTTTGTTTTCCCTAGAGTAGCATTCCTTAAAAGGGGTACAGACATGCGAAACAAGAAGTCAATTCTGTCTGAAACCATTTAATCAAGTATTATTGCAAAAATATTAGGATTCCAGTGAAAAAAAGCACAAAGTAGGGGAAAATAAAAGGAAAGAACAGCCCAAACAACCTTTATCTGCTTTTCCCAGTTTGCTTTCTTTGTACAGTACTTGATCACTTGATCATCACTTCATTCCTTTTCTTGCACTGTCAGTCAGAGATACAGATCTCCACAGGTCCATGGACAACACAGATCTTATCTCCCTCAACTTGCTAATCCAATTCCACCAGACTGTTCAGAGAGTACTCTGGCAGAGCCTCTTTTCTGACACATCCCATCCCCTCCTTATGAGGATACTGTGTTTAGAATACGATTGACTAAAGGACATGTTTTTGAAGAGCTGTAATAACAACGTATGTGTTCACATTTAAAGAGGAAAACAGCGTTAAGATATGCTACATCTCTGCAAGGTACCAATTATTCTCAGAAAGCAAACAGAAAGCTTTAGCTGTTCTATCTCCCACCTGCGAAAAAATATACAAGAAATGATTTTCTGAGTATTTTGCTTGGGTCAGAGAAGTAATCATTACTCAAAGAGTAAGCACAAAGACAAGCTTAAAGGGTGACAATTAACTTCAAGCAAGACTCAGAATTCATCAAAGCACCATCAAAGAGCACACATTAGCACTACAGGGAAAGAAAGAAAAATTTGTTTTTCATTCTATCCATGTTAAAAAATAAGCATTAGTCTTGTCAGTAGGTATAACCTGATGCACCTGCAGATAATGAAAAGCTCTGATGTACATCTGCTGGGCTGTAACAACAAACTCACCAACCTGCCTTTCATCACAACATGGCAGATTTACAATGAACAAACTTCACTCTCATTTTCAGCTTACATTTCAACATCTGTACATTCATTTTTTTCACTGTACACTTATAATTCATCTATTCTGCACATACACCTGCAAAGGATGTCCATTGACTTTAAAAGATATTGGTTGAAACTCCTTAATCTCAAAATCAGTGAATTTTAACTTTACTTAACAGTTATGCATCCTGTTGCATGTAAACATCTTCATTATCAGTCTGCATATTTTGCCTATATATGTGCATGTTATTTATATGCATTTATACAACCTGTATATACATTTTTGTATACAAACGTATATATGCACATTTATGACTGCCTGTGTGTATGCTCATACAGGTACAAGACAAAAATTATTCACAAATGTGCAGCATCATCTAGCAATATAGATTTAGAATCATTTAGCAATATAGAATTACACAATAAACAACATTTCTTATGATTCATGAAGAATGTTTGAGTTCATCTAGGAAGATTTTTCGCCACAGTAGTTTTTTTTTAAGTCATCGTGCAACCATAATAGATATAGATGTTACCTCAACATGAACAGCTGCACCTCTGTATACTCAGTGGATGTACTATGCTCAATATCTTTATATTTATATACACATGGGCCACATATGCAAACTTCTGTGTTAGCCCAGTATTTATTTGACTACTGGAATTTGTTCCTTCATTTTTTGTCTCTTCACCTCTTCTTGCTCTTCTAGAGTCTTACTGTTGACTAACCAAATTTAGTAATCTCAAACTAAAGGTTTGCACAGTGTCACAAGCCCAGCTGATCAGCTTAACTCAAGCAAAACCAAAGCAGCAAGTCACACAAACCCTATTTGCAAAATTGCAAGTAAACATTTACATTTTTTAAAAAGTTGTTGTCATTTATAGATAAAAGTCATCAAGAACAGAATCCACAACCAAATAATGTATACTATGAAACTAATTCCTTTCCAACCCTGATAATGCAAAAGAAACTTTACAAGTACAGAAAATGCAATACAATCCTCTGAACATATAATATATAAAATATTCTACAGTCAAAAGAGTACAGAGAGATAAATATATATACATCTTTATGGTGGAGTTTAAGGCTATTTTATCTGAGTTATTCCTCTGACATGAGCATTTTCATAAACAAAAATATCACTGATATGCCTACCATAAAAAATTTAAAACTGAAACACTTAAAAGAGGAATGGGAAGCAAAAATGACGTTCCTTAGAAGAAGTTGAGCTAATAGAATACTTATACTATTTAGAACATGTCCTGTTTCCTGTAGACCACAAAAACCAAAGGCTGCATGGGACCTTTAGGAATTACCACAAATTAAACAAATGGTCCTTAACTGAATTTTGCACAGACACATAAATTATTCCTCTTTTTCAGACGGATTTGCCTTTGGCAATTTTTAACTCTGGAGGTAACTCCACATCCTCTGAGTTAGCTCTGTAACTGCAAGCAGTGAGCTGTATCACTGCAATGCCCAGTTCTAACATTAGCTCTGCTAAAACAGCTGACCTTGGAGAGATGAGGCTTGCAAGCTGTTGTACAGCTCTGCACTACGATTCTGCTTTGAGGACTCCAGTAACCCCCGCATACAGCTGTGCTGTTTTTTTATGAGCAGAGCACCCAACTCAGCACTACCAGGCTAATTTCACCTTCATATGAGAATAACCCATCCTTCTGCCCAGGGAAGTGAGGGGGAGGAGTCACAATTCCTGGAGGTATTTAAAAGAGACGCAGAGGTGGCACTTAGGAATATGGTTTAGTGGTAGACTTGGCAGTGTAGGGTTAATGTTTGGATTCAATGTTCTTTTCCAACATAAATGATTCTATGATTTTTTTTTAAATTATTTTTATTCCTTTTTTGGTAGGAGTTCAAGGGCTTAAAACAAACAGAAAGGTGAAAGCACCAAACAAGACTGAGGGTTGTTCCTTTCAACAAGGTTTTTATTCTGGCAGTTTGCCAGGATGCTCCTGGTGCTCACAGTTTAGCTGAAAACTGTGGGATGCAACTTCTGCACCTTACAATGGCATGCCAGATTGCTGAGCAACGATAAAGAATGTGGAATCACTGTCCAGTTGCAGTGCACTGAAGAAGACATTCCTCTTCAACACTTGATGGGTTTGATAACAGCTCTGCTAGGTCACATTAACACAGGCTTTTATTATGCTAATGGAACACATGACTAATAAATTAAAATATTTCTGGAAAATCATATGGTAGGTAGGGCCAGTGAAATCTCCTAATCTTTAAAGAAGCTAGAGTCTCAAGAAACATTTCCTCGAAAAAGTCTGTTTCATTTTGCAAATATAAATCAATGTGTTCTATGAGTCAAAACACAGTATTTCATAATTTAAGCTACTAAAATACTCCTATGCTTTATATAACACAAAGTAAATTAAAGGCCTCATCTTCCTCCCAAAGCACTGCTGAGTTTTACAAACAGACTGTAAATTACTGCAAAATCAAACAAGCTTGAGAGAGAAAAGTCAAGCTCCATTGAAGAATGGGTGCCAGTGTAATTACATCTGCCTGAAGCTATTCTCCACGCTGTGGGGCAACCAAAGGAGGATAAGGGCAGCATAGACATGAAGAATATTTTCTGTTTCTCTCTCCATATGAGAGGCAACACTTCACCAGCCTATTTCAACATCAACCTGATACAGCTCCTTGTGGAAGCTTAAAAGGAGCAGATCATCTTCAAGTAACAAGTCAGAGTGACTTATTTTTTTTGAACTTCATGCCCAGCATATGTGTTCAGACACAGGTACACATCTTATTATTTAGATTGTAGGACTGTAGATCTAAATATGACCTGCAAATGACTTCTTCATAACCAAGATGATAAGAAAGATAACACACAGAAAGAAGAGTGCAAACAGAAATACTGCTCTGGGATAAAGTGATCAGCCTGATAGGACACGAACTGCTAACTGCAAAGCTGTTTTCATAAATGAATTTTATGAAACCTTAATCCAGACTAAAAGCGTTCTCTGGTTTCTTACACCAATCAGTCACGTATTTTTCCTCTCAAGCCTCCAGCTTCAGCTGCATTTTCTCTCTGGCACTCCCACTAACATCTAACATCTTTCTTCCACTCAACCGAGCAGTTCACGTACCAAGTAACTAACTAAAATACCAGAGCAGATGACTCAGCAAAGGAGATGACTGAAAAACTGCATCTTTTGCCTCTGAAGAATCTGTCCATTTTCCCCATACTTCTTGTCCACAGTCATAAGCATATTTTTAATAGGATGCAGACTGCAGTTTTACTAATATATCTTCAGGTATTTTTTTAATAGGTTGGATGTTTGGTGGCTCCAAAATAAACATTAAGTGGTACATCCTGACTTAAGTAACACTGTGTGCTTAAATTACTCTTAAGCATGTCTAAGCTGTTCTTGTGTACCTGACCTCTTTCTCCTGAGACTCCAACACACAGTCTTTCAGATGTCTTTTAATAAAGTCTTGTTCTCCTGTCCTTTGTACAATACAGAAAGCAGCTGACAACTACTGCACAGAATGCTGAATGTGAAACTATGGGCAATGACCAACCTCTGCTGATTTCTGTGGAGTTTTAAGGCTTTGGGAGTAATGTGAATGGTGCATAGGGTGGGAAATAAGAACCCACACACATCGTAGTTTTAGAAAACACAAATTTTAATGCAAGATGGAGAAAACAATTTTTATCTTACTGACTTATTGTAACTGTTAATGACTTTGGTCTTTACTCATTAGTTGTCTACTTTTCATTAGTCTTTTGCTCAAATCCATTTGAAGATCAAAACCAATTATGCTTACTTGTTCTTCTCTTATTCTAGCAACTCTTAGCTACGTGCTTGTATTTAGATGGGTGTCCACTGTAAAAGAATTCAGTGGTTTTGCACACTAAAAGATTAAATTGCAAATAACATGGTAAATATAGCATTAGAGTGTCTT